CGTTGGTCACCTGAGTGGTGTTTGCTGATCCAGCGGTTGTGTTGCTGCTGCTGTGGCTGCAGCTGCCGCTGCTGGATGAGCTGGAGCTGCTTGAGGAGGTTGAGCTGCCGCTGGAGCTGCTGCTGGAGTGATCTACGACCGCATCGGGCAGACCGCCCACCAGCTTATAGTGTGGCGTCTCCACCAACTGCAGATCCGCATTGCCCGACAGGGCTGCAGCATCGGCGCTATCCACTGCCTCGCTGCCGAAGGAGCGCACGCGACGCAACACCATGGGCTCGACGGGCACCCGCTCAGCGTATAGCTCAATGCAGGTGGTGCTCTGCTTGACTACCTGCTCAACGTGATCCCTTGTCGGCGTTGGCTGCAGTGCGCACTGCGCATTTGTGTCGGTATGTTCGGCCTCATCTGGGCGGTAATAGGAACTGCCAGAGGAGTAGTCCGTTTTGGCACCGCTGCTGTGTGGCGTGCTCAGCGCATGGCCAAAGGGAGTGGTCAGGCGCATGCCTGGCGTAATTGCCGTCAACATGGGCGTGTCTAGTATGCTCTTTGTATCGCTGCCAAACAGAAACGACGCAGATGGCAGAAATTTTGCGTAGGGCGTATTCAATGTCGGCATTAATGCTGGACCGGGTGTTGGCGGCACATCGTCCGCTTCCGACAACGTCACCTTGAACGGCGTCTCTAGAAGAGCTTCTATATTGCCCATGCGATCTGCTGGCTTATCTTTGGTCACCGGATTGACGGGCGCTGGCTCAGGCTGTTGCATCTCCTGCTGGACCTGCTCCCGCTGCTGCTGCTGTTCCGGCTGCTGTTGCTGCACATGCTCCTGCTCAGACTTAATAATTTCCTTAGTTGCCTCCTCGTCCTTGATCTTCTCCGACTCCTTGGATACATTGTGTTTCTTGGACTGTTTTAGCTTCTGGCTGACAGCCTTAGGCTTTTTTGATGCTTTTTGCGGCGTTGTTATCTTTATAATAAAATCACCCTCGCCGCTGCTCATCTGCTGCTGCTTCAGCTTTTGTTTCTTCTTCTTCGTGCTGAGCGGCGGTGACTTTAGTTTCTTTTGTTTTGGCGCTAAGGGCGTCGCTGGCGCCAGTGTTTTCTTTTTCCTGGAAACGGGCCGATTGCGCCGCACTTTGTTCTGGAACACGTCCAAGCGCTTAGCATTGATTTCACGTAAACGCTGCTCCAAATCAGTGCTGGAGCTATTCATCTGGCGCTGCCAGGCGGCCAGCAGATCCTCTTTCTCGCTGCTCACCTTGGGCTTATTTGCGGGCACAACTGCCTCCTCCGTTGGCGACGTTTGATTCTCCTTGCTGTCATCCAATGAGACTGATGCACTCTTCCCAGCTTCCTGTTGCTTGTTGCCGCTTCCACCGTTACCCTCGTCCTGTGCGTGCGCCTCCGGAATGATGCGCTTACAGGCTGCTTTGGCCGCTGTTCGACGCTTTTGCTTGCGCTTGGGCGTCGCCACCATAGACGGCGCCACGGCTGCCACTGGGGTAGCCGACTTGGCTGTCTGTTTTGATTGCTTAATTCCAGCGACTGCCCTGATCACCGTCTGATTGCTGCTTTCCTCCATGGCAAAGAGTGGAGGCACGCAGCCGTTACTCTCATTGCCGCTGACATCGGCAGCTGTAGCTACTGCAGCCGCTGCTGCAGATGAAGCCGTGACTGCAGCTGCTGGGACGCAGGAGCTGCTGCCGAAATTTGGCAGAATCTCGATATTCTTTATAATGACTGGCTTCTCCGGCTGTAAGTCTGTTTGATTCTCCGGCTCTTTAGACTGTTTTTCTTTGAGTGTCTTTAGCTCCGCCCGCCGCTGCGCCTGCTGTGAATGCGTCTGCTGCTTTTGTTGGAGACGGCGGGTGGATAGAGGCGTGCTCTGGCTATGTGTGACCCCCTTGGGTGAAAAATTGAGCGTGCGCACGTGTGAGGTGCGTTTGCGGGGCGTGGATAGACTACGAAAGGCCTTCACATTGACAATGCCCGACGTGGAGGGGGTAACGCGCTCCAGCACCAGACGCGATGAGTCCAGCGAAGCAGGCACAGCACTGGCGCTCAACACTTTGCTGGCAGAGCGCTCGACCAGCACCGTACTCGCAGTCACTGGCTTTGGCTGCTCCGCAATAAGCTGAGCCGGTGGCTCCACCGAAGGCGACTCCACTGGCGTCGGCGGCTGCTTCACGGCGCTGTTTATGATTATCGAATTGGGCGGCAGCTGATTGGCGGTAACTGTAATGGGCTCCGGCAGCGGTATCTCAATGTGCGAGACATCCGTGTTGGCAAACGCATCAGAGCGCAGCTGCTGCGCCAACCACTCGTTGTTCACCAGAAACGGCAAATGCGAGATCAGACCCTCGTTGGATAGAAACATGGGAAATGTGAGCTGGCCATTAATGGCATCCACGCACACCTGACCGCCGGCAACAGCTGCAACACTGGCAACTGCATCAGCATCCGATAAAGCTGAACCGCCGTCGGCGTAATTAATGAGATTCTCACTGCCAAAGCTCAGATTGGACGCTGACTGCTGCTGCTTCTGCGCGCTCTCGTTCGAGTTAAGCACTATGAGCTTGGATATACTGAAATTGGGATCAATTAGAGTGCCAATTGAATTGTTCGCATTGAGCTGAATGATGGCATTGCCATTGTTGCCATTCACCACATTAACTTCGCCGCTGGCGTTAACAGCCGCCGCCGAATTCGCTGAGGAGACCGCTGCGCGAATTATAAGCGGAGTCTGTGGTGGCGCTGGCTCCGTTTCTGCTGCTACTGCCGCTGCAAGTGTTGCTGACATGGGCTCCTCCGGTTGCGGCTCCATGCTAACCACCTCCTGAATGATGCGATCAAATGATGGATCTTTCTCGGTAGCCTCCAATATATTCCTGACCAGACCATCTAGCACCGCCTCCGAGTTCACCGACTCTGCCGTAGGCGCATGCACCGTCAGCGACTGCAGCGCCACGTTGATATTGGTCAGCAGCTTGGCCTGAAATTCGCTGTTGGTCATGATGGCGTTTGTTAATGCCTGTAAATACACAGATGCATGTGGGAATACCAGTACAATTGATTATCAACACAAAACATTTCGAATAGGAATCATACCATTGTGCAATTTACTACATAGAAATCTATACGGGCTCTTGCTAGTTCTTATACCTTTGTAATTTTCAGTCAATTAGTCCAATTAGGACTAATTATTTCTTCTTATTTTTTTTTAATATTTAGACAATTATGAGTGTTATCTTGCTCCCGATATCTAAGCCGAATATTTTAAACATGGAATTACATTGTAGCAATTTTTGTAGGCTTGTGAAACCAGTTATTTGCAATAACCACAAATCGCATTGCATTCCCTCACATGCTTACCGGCATAGTCTGCGGCGTTGGCATCACTCGTTCTGCCTCGTCACTGGTGCTCGTACGAGGGGTAGAATTGTTTTTGGGCCCATGTTCAACAAAATGCAGAGCATCGTCCGTATGCTCGCTAGTGAAATCGGTGCCAGTGCTGCTGTCCAGCGAATCTTTTTCCTCTGTATGGTCGCTCAAGTTACGAGAGCTCCGCCCGACACTGCAGTACAAGTGCGGATCCAGCAGACGCCGACGCTTGCGGGCGGCATGCTTCGTTGGCGATGGTGAAACCGAGTTTGCGTGTTCCTCATCCCTGTCGAAAAAATCCATAAATAAATTGTTGGAAAAACGTACCCTGGGCGGTGATAGATTGCTTACATGCGTCGCCTCTTGCGCTGCTTATTTGAGCTCGCATTTTGCATACTGGCGCTGTCTTTGCTGCTGGTGAATGTTGACTTGTCCGCCTTTAGCAGCTCACCTACGCGCTCGGACAGCTTGAGCTGCTGCAGGCGCTGGCGCGCGTCGTTTGGCAACTTCTGCACCGCCGTGGCCACTGAAAATGGAACTCAGTTTAGTGGCGTCTGGATTATAGTGGCTAGGGCTGCTTACCCATGCTCGTGATTTTGACGTGCTCGCGTATGATCTCTTCCAAACCGTCATTGAGAAAGTTGTGCGGCTGCAGGCCCTGCCGTAAAGCAACAAACTCCTGGTGTAGATGCGGTGATGTGCGGCACAGCGTTAACGCCGCCCGTTTTAGATTGTTATTTACGAAATAGCCTGCAAATGCAGACATTGAAAGGCATTAAAGGCATCGAACGACATGGGACTAGCAGACTCACCCAAAATTAGACGCGCGATGTCAGAATGCAGCACAATTGATTCCATTTTTCTCGATTAATGAATACTTTATTTAGTTGTTCGTCCAATTAAAGTTGCTGCTTCGATTGTCGCACATGTTAACAAAACAAAACAAAACAAAACAAAACAAAAAAACAAACAACAAAAAACTAAATGCTTGTTTGCGTTGCTTTGCTTTTTGCTGCCGCTTCTTGTTTGTTGCTAGTTTTTCGTCTTCGCCGATCCCAATTTCGATGCCGATAATGTTGATAAACTTTGTTGGATACTGCTTCGTCGCCTTGTTTCCACTCTTTCACTCTCTACAAAATTGCATTGTTGTTTGCATGTTAACTAAGCTTAATCGGGTATTTAGATATAACGTGGTTTGTTTTTATTTTTATTTTGCAATTATCGTCGCGCACTGTACAACATACCTAAACAATAGCATCTGTTTACCGCCAAAATGTTAAGCTGCAGAGCTGCAACATATAATAATATCGATTATTATTTTGCAACTATCGATACAGGAACTTGTATTTTTATAGTTTTGTGGATCGAATATAATAAAGCCATGATATTATTTTGCTTGAATACATTAAAATCTACCTTGTTATAAGTCAGATTAAGCTATAAACTTAAAAGTTACTTACATCTTGATTTATTATGAAGAATAACAAAATTCTATGACAAGTTACGTTTACTATCATCAGCTTATCGATGTATGCACCGCTTACGAATTGAATAATTAATCGATCTGGCAACGCTCTTATTATGTTTAACTCTGCTTCAAAGGAATTTAATTAGAACAAATGGCTGCTAAAGCAGTTGTCTCCGAAAAAAATGATGGACAAGAGTCTGACAAACCTAAATCTACTGATGCGGAAATTAATCAGCCAGAAACGGCTACGGCCAGCATAGAAGTCGGAACAGCTCCGCCGCCGGCAAAAAGTGATAGAGGTGGTGGACGTAAGCGTAAGCGCCACCTTTTTAATGCAATTCGAACTCAAATGGAGTTTTACTTTGGTGACGCGAATCTCAGCAAGGATCGCTTTCTGCGTCGCTATGTGGAGCAGGATCCATGTAAGAGAATATTTATACAAACATCCTTTTTAACTAGTACATCTATTGTTGTTACTGTTTTTAGACGTCCCGCTAGACATATTTCTAACATTCAACAAAATCAAGACGCTCACACAAGATGTGCAGCAAATATCCACGTCGCTGTCTAATTCGCAGATGCTTGAATTGGACGAGACCGGTCTAAAAGTCCGTCGCAAGACTGCGCTGCCAGAGCATAGGGACGTCAACGATAAAACCCTATACGTGGAGGCGCTGCCGTCGACTGCAACACACGATTGGCTCAAAGAGGTCTTCAGTCGGTATGGCCCGGTCACGTACGTGTCGCTGCCTCATTACCCCGGCACGCGAAAGATTAAGGAATTTGCATTCATCGAATTTGAGAAGAGCAGTTCCGTGGAGAAGGCTCTTAAAGCCTTTGCTCAGGTTCAGGGCGTTCTATCGGTAGAGCACACAGAGCCTGGCGACTTGGCCAGCATACGATCGTTTCAGCAGCAACAACAGCAAAAGGCAAACACTGGCGCGGACGGGCAAGAGGGTACAACAGAAACAAATGCTGGAGCCAAACAGACAAAAAAGCGCGAAGGCGATAAAGAGGGTGTGCAGGAGGCCGTGGTAGCCAAGCGGGCTAAACTTGAGCCGCTGCAGGATCAAAGTGAATCATCTGCTGCCGAGACCACCGACGCAGACGAAGACAACACGCAGCCAAGTGACAGTGACAATAACAATGAGGACAAGGAGGTTTCTAGAAAACAAAAGCGTCGCCGAAAGCAAAAGAAGAAGATCGTCGCGGACAAGCTCAGGCCGAACATTGAACCCAGCGCCTTGGAGCTGAAGATACTGCCCAAGAGCAGCTGGTGTAGCCTGCGCAACAAGTACCTTAATCTGCAGCGTCGCCTAATCAGCGAGGCCAAGAGCAAGCTGTGGCGCAACTCTCAGGCTCAGCAACCATCGCACAAGTGCACATCCATGCAGCTGCAGTTGCAGGCGCAGCAACAGCAGCTGGTGGAGTCAAAAGGCAGCTGTAACAGCGGCGCTAGCAGCGGTCATGAGGAAACTGAGCCCCTCAGCGATGCTGGGGATGTGGCGGAAGTCCCAGTGCCACCCAAGCGTCGGAAACGCAACAAAAACGCTGGCGTACACAAAATGAATATGAATTTCTACGGCGCTGGCGGCAACGAGGCGGACGATACCAAACCGGCAGTGAAGGCGGAAGATGCGGCACAGGAGCGCTCGCCGCTCTTTAAATACGAGCCAGGTCTCATTGTAGAGTGCGCGCTCCACGAGCCCTGCGTAAACGTGAAAGACTTTAAGGCGGACATGCGACAGTACACGGACATTAAGTACGTGGACATCAAAGAGGGCGATCAGGTGGCGCATCTGCGCATGGCCACGCCCAGTGCCGCCGAGGAGCTGGCACGTCAACTCAGCTGCGCCGAAATGCAGTTCAAAGTACTGCGTGGCCAGCCAGAGACTCAATACTGGCGCAAAATCGAACAGGATCGCGAAGCCAAACTGACCAAAAAGGTACGTGTGCAACAGAAACGCGGGCGCGAAAAGGTTGCCAAGCTCTTGGCCAAGCACATTAAGTTTGACGATGCAGATGATGAGGTAATCAATGACCCGGCCTCCAGCATCAGCATCCCGTCCGATATCTAATTTTTAACGCAAACAATGTACAAAGAACTGAAATATGTATGCATATAAATTAAAAGAAATGTATGTACATTATTAAATTAAAGCAAATACAGCTGAATGCTTGAAGATTCAAAGTTTTGCACAGATGCACAGCTGGAACTATCTAGCCATCATAGCTTAGGGGAGCATTTCCTACAGCGAAGCGGCCAAGCGTGCCCTGCATGCATTATCTGTGAGTGCCCGCAGCTGTCATTGTCCTCAGATTAGAAGATTGCAAAGGAGCAAGTTTATCTGCTGTCGCTACCACCGATGTCCCTGTGGTCTGAGATGTACTATGTAGGTTATACGTATATATATTTATTTATATTTAGTCATAGACAGTCTCCTCTTATATATAACATGCTTTTGAACAATGCTTGGTACCTATCATAATTGGCTATTTAAAATGTTGAGCACATTTAATCTTACCTAGACCATACTTCGTAAATTAGCCTAAAATATTTATCTAAATAACAACTCAAAGTTAGTTTAAAGCTTAAAATTATTTTATATAAAGTTTACATTTACTTTTTATCTTATTTAGCTAGGTATTTCGTCAGTTGTCTTCATCTCTGTACTATGACTATACAATATTTTCTTCATGCCTCGCAAAAATGACAAAGTTGTACTTATATGATACGCATCTTAGGTAATCAAATGCAGCAACCCTTCCGACTGTCCACTGCATATTAACGCCGGCAAAGCGGGCTCTCTCTATCCGGATTAAATGTAGAGCGAACCGTCAGCGGGGCCCAAATAATGCATGGATATGAGCAGAACATCTATAATTGTCCAGACGCCGAGGCCGCCAAAACTGAACAGTTTGCCAATGCCTTCCTGCCAGTGGCCCAAATAGAAGCGGTCGGCACCAAAGCCACCCAGTGTTAGGCTGATAATCAACGCGGTGCTCCAGCGATAGCCCTGCGTCCAGTTGCAGCGTAAATTGCGAGTAAACGAACGACTGCCCAGGCAAAGTACATCCTGGTGCACAGTGCAATTGGTGCGATAGTATTTATCCGCTGCAGAGTTGCAATTGGCGTGCTGCTCGCAGCTCTGCTGCCACATCTCCGTTTGGTAGCAATAGCGACAGTTCATTGTACGCTGGAACGAACGCTCCCCCTGGCACTGCACATTGCTGGCCGCCTCGCAGGTGATGTTAATATCACGGCCGTACAGGCAGTTGAAATTATAGCTGCAGCGTATGCATGGGAATTGCAGCCGTTCGCACGGCATCTCCTTGTCCAGCGGGCACAGCATATTCGTGGTGCTATTGCCGTTGGTGTTGTCACCCGCCGCTGATGATTTGCTACCCATGCTGCCGAGTGCAGGCACAAATACCTCATTATCGTTGTTATTATTGATGCCAGCATTGCTGTTGTCCTTGCGCTGATCATTCTTAACATCCGTTAGATCCATTTGGTTGCCTCCGCTGGCGGTTTCGCTATTTTTGATGCCGGTCAGCACAAAGATGATGATCAGTGCTATTGCCGAACGCATATTGACAACGATGCATTCTCGCTGTTGCCTCATAGTTGCGAAATGGATACTACAACGAAATATCTCTAGGGCGAAGTTTCTCGGCGGATGCAGTTGTTTTGGTTGTGATAGCGATAGCAGCCACCCATCGATAGGCAGCATAATCGATGGCACATGAAAGTGTATCGATACATTGTGGGCGATATACGACAATTGAAGCATATTTGCTTATTTTGAAATACAATTTTATTTTATTTTTCTGAATCAGTACAGTTTGAAAATGTCCACATTTTTTCAAAGGAAAACATATATTATTTGTCACGTTGCCGCACTACAATCGCTATTCAAAACTAAACATATCGATATATCGATAAGACATAAACAGCCGAAATTTCTTTTAAAAAAACGGGTAATTGTCCCATGTTTTGGTTATATATTTACAATTACTTTTAAAATGTCTTACCACGGCAGTAAAGACAAGCGCACTTTTCACGTAGACGTGCGTCTGCATAGGTTCGGTGGAACCTTCTCTGGCGCTTTTCCAGAGTTCAGCCGTCCTGAGCCTATTGGATTCTACAGCGTCAATGAGGCACGGGAGTTCCAGGACAACGCCAATAATTCGTGCTTCTTGCGCCTGCCGCACCCCGGCGATATGCCGCTGGATCTCAATGCTGGCATTGAGAATGTGGAACGCAAGGGTGTTGACCCCGATTACCATGATATTTACCAGATCTGCCAGTACATCTATAACCATAAGGAGCTCTTGCGTACGTCGTCTACTGGGCGTCTTGAGCTTCCTGCGGATTTCGTTACGTTGCGCGGCATTCTACGCCAGATAATGAGCACGCCATACGAAAGAAATCGCGACTATCGGCTTGTGGCAACGCGCTTTAACGGCTCGATATACATATCCAAAGTCGAGACCAAGGAGCAGCGCATCGAACGCGAACAAATGACACGCAATCAACTGGACTTGTGCTCGTGGGGCTTCAAGTTCGAGCAGTACTGCACAACACAGATGCCAAACACTGCCCCTATTACAAACGAGCCAGTAAATGAGTCCAAAGAGTTTGCCTGCATCTATCGGAGCAAACTAAATGGACTTCGCCTCATGTACGGCGCCGAGATGGACTGCATTAAGAGCAACGTTTATATGTATGTTTAAACAGTTGTAATATTTCAAATCCGAAACTTATTTGCTTACTAATCTCTTATAGAGATTTGAAGGACCCAGCTCAGCTGCGTCTGGCCGAGTTTGTGGAGCTTAAGACAACCGCCCACAACATGACAAAGAAACAGCAGCGCAGCTTTGACAATTACAAGAGCCTCAACTGGTGGAGCCAGTCGTTTTTGGTTGGCATCGGCACTATTATAGCGGGTTTGCGCGATAATAATGGGCTGGTTCATGAAATCAAAGAATATAGCGTGCGCGAACTACACCGTCACAAGCCTTGGAGCCCAGCTGCCATGGCAACATTCCTGTCAGACTTTCTGCACGAGCTCAGGTCAATAATGCAGCGCATTAACGACTCGCACGCAATTGTCATGATTGACTATAGTGCGGATCGAAATAAGATTTTCTACTCTGTGTTGCGGGACGCGGATGTTAAGCCAGTATTACCCGACTGGTATCGGCGAATGATGCGCGGCAGCGCGCCATCCTAAACGGCAGCCAGATTAGCGTTTAGTTTTTAGTGTAAAAGTATATAAGTTGTAATATATATTTACTTAAATTTTAACTTTTAAACCTTAATTATTGGTGGTTTATTTTAGGTCGCTAGTTTCCAGCAGCGGTACAAAACTGTTGACGTCTGCTGACGTTTTGCCTGCATACATCGGAAACTCTGGGCTGGTGGGCTGTGAGTTAGCGGCTCGGCGTCTGTCGGTGGCATTGGGGCCGACCATATGCGCGCCAGAACAACCGTTGCTTTCGCGCTTCTCGATGACACAGTCGAAAAAGCGCGACAACTTGACCGCATCGGTAGTGCCGGCAGCCAAACTGCGTGTGTCCCGACAGTTGAGCCAAATTTCTTCGGCTCCGCATTTGTCCGCTGCAAGGCGAAACACAGTTACACAGATCACAAGTGGCCAACTGACAATAATACTGACCTATACCGCCAGCTTTCTTTACAGCTGTTTTGGGTTGACGCTTCTCATCGATCAGATCCAGCTTGGTGCCCATTACCAGTATTGGTATTTGTGTGGAGCCTAAAAACTCCTCCAAATCGAAACGCATATGGGCATCGGTGCCGTAGACGGGCGATGGCGATGGCGGCAACGAGGCACTGCGACATTTGTACGTATCCTTGCCCTCTTTGTTGACAATCTCGTATAGCCAGTCGAGCAGCTGCTCCTGCGATTTGCCATTCGTCAGATCGTGTACCAATATAACGCCGTGTATGCCACTGTAGAAGACGCTGCGCGTATTTTTGTGACTGAGTGAGCCACCGATGTCAAACAACTCAATAAAATAGGGGCACTGACGAGCAGTGCCCTCCTTGAACTCGTGAATTTTGACCTGTATGTTGCAGCCAACTGTCCAGCCCGGTCGTATCAACGACTCATTGTGTGCAATTAAATGCGTTAAGCATGTTTTGCCCACACCTGAAAGAAATTGTATCGTGAAATATTTAAATAGCTGCGTGACATTCAACAGTTACCCGAATCACCAACAACGACAATGCGCACGCGATTATTCATTATCAAGTTGTCGTGGCATCAGCTTAACACAATCAAATTATTGTTGCATTGCGCTTTGTTTTGGCAGTGCCTAGAGACGTTCGTGCAATCGACTAAATCGATATAAATGTCATATGACCATATGTCCACAAACTCGACAATTATCGATAATTTCTATTTCTATTTCGATATATTATTGCAACAGGTTGTTGTGCCGCCCTGTCAAATGCTCGCTCAGTTTGTAATATCATTTTGACGCTGTATATACTACACGGTAGACGTACACGTACATACGTACGACTTGATACTTAAAGTAATTATAAATACAGCCTATTTAAGTCCGACAATAGACACTTGTTTCGGTTTTTTTTTTAAGTTGCCAGCTAATTTAAAAGTGCCTGCCAATGAACGACGTGCTGTTAATTGAAAAGACGAGCTGTAAAACTCGTTGATTTTATATCTCGAGCATAAAGATACACATAGATACATATGTATCTGTATATACACATGTATATACATAATACATTCTTATGTATACTGAAAATAAGACATACATATGTGCAAGACGTTATGCGACAATTGAAACTTTCATTTGTTTAGTGTACTTTTAATTATATGCGCGCATTCATAGATAATGATGTATGTGTGTGGGTGTGAAAGAATTTGTGTTTATGTGCAACATGCACCCATCTGTTGATTTCGTGCTCTTGCATTAAGCAAATAAATACTCCAAGGAGAACGTTAGAGAAGGAACTGCAATTGCCTTGAAAACTTGACAAATTTTGGCATTACATGTACTCGCTATACAGATAGATATCCGAATGTGATGCGTATGTATCTTTGAAACATGTAGGTGGGCTGTAAGATGAATCATCAGGGGGGAACACACAATATATATTTGTACATAGATAGATATAGTTATATCTTGCCATTAGCACTATCATCACAAATTCCAAGCGTGCAAGTCTTGGATTCTTTGCTCATATCCGTTCTGGGCTTTTATTTTGCAATGCGTAATTAAACGCAATTGATAACCTAATACGACCTAACATACATGTACATATATGTATGCTTCCTACGCATGTCATCCGATGACGCAAATGCATACGCAAGCCAGCAAAAAGGGACCCTCTTGTTTCCAGAAAACGTGGCTACGCAACGTGACTCATTATAAGCCAGACTCATAGGGTTCGGTTTCTTGGAAAATCGCAGTCGTTGTGAAAATAAGATAGATACGCAGACGTACGTACTTGTAGATACATACCTGCGCGTATATGGCATAGTAGTTGCTATGCTGTCCGAGGTGGAGCTAATTACATTAATATGTAGAGTTAATATTAATGGTTGCCTTGCACGAATGACTGCGAATATTATGGACTATTTATTAACTGTGACATTAGATTTATGTTTGCTTGTATGCATAGCTGTCGCACCTAAATAGATAAATAAACAAAATTCAGATAAACAAAAACAAGCAATGTGCTCAACTATTGCATACCCTACAACTACTTAGATATTTTGCGACTGTGCATTAACTTTAACATGAATGTTAAGTTCATTATGACTTAAAAATTATTTGTTTAATTTAAAATATATTTCCTTCGCTTCTTCCTTTTTACAGTCTTGAATCTCACAGGAATATCCTTACCCAGTAATCTCATTAAAAAAAACGAATATGTATCCATACGTAAGTAGAACTTTCTTAATCTTGATGTTTTTGCACCAGCATTTTGGGCTCTTCCAGCAATAGACGCACTTTCTTTTTCTTTTTTTTTTCTAGTATCACAATTTTTAATTGAAATAGTTGTCGAACGTACGCTTCTTAGATACATATTAACGTTGTTTTTGATGTCGTTCGTTTTTTTGTCCTTTTCTTTTCTTAAAATACAACCTATTATTTTTTGTAGCCTAGCATAAATGTATTTCATTTAGTTAGCACTTCCTTATGAGTTATCAACTATTCACTTTTATGTGTAAATATTCAGATACGCTTTAAATGCTTTAAAATCAAATCAGTGAGTTTACGGTTAATATATATTTATTAGATTAACGTCATGGTGGAGCTGTTCTTAGAAATGTTCATGTACAAATGCATACATAAAAGACCCTTCCATTTCGCTGTAAATATATTACACGTTTTCCATGTAAAAAAGAAAATCTCCGATTCATTAGAAATGTTCGCATGATTTATGATTTCCAATTATAAATGATTATGTCGAAATTGTGATAGCTTGGACACATGACCATTGTTAGGAGGACACATTGATTCTTTCGCTGAATGTTAACGCATGTTCAGTCTAACCGACGCACAATGAATTGTATTGTGTATTTTGACTTTTATAGGGTTCCGGAATGCCACAATCATCACATCCTTCTACTAATGAGCAACCTAATGTGCCGTTCGGAGTTGGTTGGGTCACTGCACCAGTGCAGCAGAACGTTACGCATTCCTCACCATACCCACCGCCCACCGCACAACCTTATCAGCAGCAACAGTTCCAACAATATCCAAATCAGCATGACGGTGCCGCTAACTATCCAATGCATGCGTCTTATCCATCTACATCGACATCATACCCTCTTAATGTAAATGTATCTTCGCCACCATATCCAACCAATAGGGCAGACAGTGTGGCGCCCCATCAGGGCCTACATCAGCAGTATCAGCAGTATAGCCAAAGCCATTTTAATCAGCATCCAAATGCATCCTATCCAGCTGACCGTGGATACACACCAGCCATGACAGCACACTATGGATATGAGTCTCCTAGCCACTATGTTCAGGGGCATGGTTATGATTATGGTCTTGATCATAGTTATGGGTATGGGCATGGGTATGGTCATGAGCACGTGCAACAAAAACTCAATCAACACCTGACGGCCTATGAAGAGGTTTGTCTATAACTCTATGTTCCTTCCTGTCCCAATTCTCAGAAACTAACATTAAAAGTTTCGGATTAATTAAATATGGATCATTGTTTTGATATCCTTAAAACAAAAAAGTGCCCTAAATGTACTTAAATGATATTAAATAACTGATTTGTAGTTTCGGGCAAAATTTATATGCACTTGCTACCAAGACTGCAAATTCAACGAAAATGTTCGGTGGTTCCGTTCACGGTTCGAACCAATTGTACGCCTTGTGGTTCGGAACGTGAAACAGAATCAGATTTTGAATCCAGATATTGGGCTCTAACTCGGCTCTCATTTTGCATTTTTACAGTTTACAAAAAAAAAATAATTAAATTTTTTTTCAATTATAGATTAAATTTTATATATCTACATCATATTCACAGAACTGATAACCGAACAATATTAGTAAAAACATTTTCGAGTATACAAATTATCGAGTATACAGTTTTGAACCAAAACATCTTTATAATAAGTTTCAACATGATAAATTAAGAACTAGCATTCCGAGTCCGAACTGGTTTTGCCGGCGTAAAACCGGTTTGCAGTCCTTGTTGTATGAGAGTCTTTCCGATTGCAAGGCTTTTACTTGAACTGGAGCTGTCATGTGCGTAGCACAGGAAATGCAATGCCCACATCTATAATAATGAATAATACATATTTATAAAGCAATGCACTTGTATATAAATGCACAAGGTATAAGAATGACTTTTGGCTTCGTGCCTTATTTTATTCAGGGTACTCCCACTCTGTTCCCGGCTCAAGGGTTTGATCCCGTTAAGGATGCTCACGATTTGCGCAAAGCTATGAAAGGCTTCGGCACAGATGAGGATAAACTTATTGAGATCATCTGTCGTCGCAGCAACGAGCAGCGCCAGGAAATCCAACGTCAGTACAAAACTCATTTCGGCAAGGATCTAATTGAAGATATCAAATCGGAGACAAGTGCCAACTTTCAAAAGCTGTTGGTTGGTCTCTTGCGTCCAATTGTCGATTATTACTGTGCCGAGCTAAATGATGCCATGGCCGGGCTGGGCACCGACGAGGAGGTGCTCATCGAAATTCTATGCACTCTATCCAATTTAGAAATTCATACCATCAAAAATCAGTACTTGCGCTGTAAGTCTCACATGATTTAACAGATATGTATATCTATATGCATGCTTGTATATACTTAAACTTATATTCTATGTATATTTTAGTATACGGCGCACATTTGGAGTCGGAGCTAAAGTCGGAGACCTCCGGCAATTTCAAGCGTCTGCTTATTTCGCTATGCACCGCGGCGCGGGATGAAAGTGGTCGTGTCGATCCCAACAAGGCCAAAGAGGATGCCAGGGAGCTGCTTAAGGCTGGTGAGCTGCGCGTTGGCACCGATGAGAGCATGTTCAATATGATACTTTGCCAAAGAAACTATCAGCAACTTAAACTTGTGGGTTATGACAACAGCATCAAGGCTTTATCAATATTATTTACAAATGTATTTGAACCTTGCAGATATTCCAAGAGTACGAAAACATGACTGGCCACTCATTCGAGAAGGCGCTCAAAAAGGAGTTCTCGGGCGATATTATGGAGGGTCTAATTGCCATCTACAAGTGTGTCACAAATAAGGCCGACTACTTTGCCTCGCGCTTGCACAAATCCATGGCTGGCATTGGCACCAACGACAAACAATTGATTCGCGTCATCATAACTCGCTGTGAGGTAAATGATGAGTACAATATATAGACATTTTTGCATATTGTAAACCCAATTTATACAAATTCATCTTGCAGATTGATTTGGCGGACATTAAGGTGGCTTTCGAGCGTTTGTATGGCAAATCGTTGAAGAGCTGGATAAAGGTTAGCATATACGCTTCAAATTGTGTATCAAAATATTAAACATATTTATTTATCATTTTTAGGGCGACACTTCTGGGCATTACAAGCACGCTCTGTATGCGTTGGTTGGGGAACAACGCTCATCTTAAACTTATGCATAATTCAAAATAGCTGTTTTACATGTTGTGTATTCTACTTTTTATGTAATATGTATGTACGATGATTACGAAGTAACTATTTTTATTTAAATAAGAAAAAAAATCAATTCTACATCGCTTGGAATTGTGTATTCAAACATCCCAACGCTAAAAATTCTGTCTTAAGTGTGCCTCGACAAAAAAACGAAAACAAAAAAAAAAAAGAAAGAAAACCCTAGAGCTTATGCATTTACATTTATATTAAAGGCGCAATTATTCATTTCAAAGATGTTGCCTATTATCATATATTGAAACTTGTTCAAATTTTGCTCTATATATATATTATCAATGTAATGGATTGGAATATGGTCTCGACTCCTTACGTCAGACCCAGTTGACACTGTTCGTATTTTAAATATACCTATATGTATTGATGTATTTTATTAAAGGCGCAACGCCTTTAAATGATTGCTGCTCTTAATTTTTGGAATGGGGGCAGGTGTTTTGCCTGAACTTTGGCTTTTATTCGACAACAGGTTCATAATTCGCAAAATAATTCATAATCGCAAAATGGCTGCTGTCGAAAACATATTGGAATTGTATCTATACGCTAAGTTATTAAAATGCTTCATTTAGCATACGGGAATTGCATATGCAGGATCTGCAAACATTAATCAATAGTTCTTAGCATCTGGTCGAGGCTTATTAAAACAAGCTGTTGCTTAGCTGCTCATGAGTTGTTTGGCTTGGGTCTCGGTATATACATAACAACCAAGGACATCATTTCAGGACTCGCACCTCGACAAAGAGTGAGTCGTTGCGTAGATAGTTGCGACTGGTTATAACCTTGTGCGGAATATGGAAGTACTGGTTGCTCTGTATATAATCATCGCTCTTCTTTCGCACATTGATGGTCTTAACATAGTCCTGTCCCTCCAGCGTAATGCCACTTTGATCCCGTATAATAATCTCGGCCTGCAAGCGACATGGCCAGGTCAGAAGTGGATCATATTCGCCAGATAGCACATTCAGACAGGCGATCAAGTTGCGCCCCTTCCAAGTGCCTTTGCCATTCAAATATATGTCCAGCTGCAAGCATTATATAAATTTGAATTATCTGTTTGTTAATCTGTTTATATTTATTAATACTTACACGCAAGGCATATCCAAATGCCTTGTTGGAGAACATGGCGCTGTGCAAGATTGTATCATACTGCTTGGCCTCCTCCAATTTCTTCGAATAGTCCTTGATGCGCCAAATCAAATGGCCTGTAATCGAACAATATATATATATATATCTATACATTTTGTTATTTAAAATTTATATTCATAACTTTATCTTGAGTAAAAGGATAAGGCTTAAGAAAACTCCATCCAGTGCAAAAATGTCCTATAAAACTGTTGACATTATTTAATTTTTCATTCCAGGTGGTTCCCCCGGGGATAAAAGAGGTACCACGGTTCCACGGTAGATCGAAGGCAGCGGGCCGACTAGGATATACCCTACTCACAAATGTTCTACAAATATAGGCAACACGGAGGGACTGCTCTTCTTCACCTCTGCCCCACACAAAGCAAACTTCATCCTTTAAGAATTGCTGTGCTTAAGATGAGGAAGATAATTGGAAAATTCCAAAACGACATAAAGTACTTGAGTACTCTAAAAAAAAGCTATATAGAATATACTTTCGAAATTTCTGTAGCTTAACGCTCACAGAGAGACATCTTTGCCAAAAATATAAGCACATATATTAACATTTAAAATAGTACACTTTCAATTGGTACAATCGAGCTGAATTCACCAATTTTGAAAGCCTATCCTCACAGTTAGAAAACAAGTGGAAAACTCCAAAATGTGACTTTTCCGACCGCGCTAGCGATCAAATTCACCCAAGCAAATCGAGCGAGATCTTTTCACCCATTTTCCACCCCTTTGATCGAATATGCAGGAATGCCTGAAATTGCTTACCTCTTATATTCTGGACACTGGCGATGCGTTGCTGCATGGCCAGCTGGTTCTCGATGTCCGCGATGCTCTGCATTGTCTGGTGGAGCGCCTTGTCGAGATCTTGGACCAGGTTCTGCAGCCTATCGCAGCGCTCCTCAGTTTCACACACAATGCTTTTCACATTTTTGACTTCGCAGTCCAAAGTGGCTTGCTTTGTGGTGGCAAAGTCATTGCTGCCCAATTTGGTTTTGATGTCCTCATTGATCTCTTGTAGGAACTGCTCAATCTGCACAAACTTATCTCTAACGTATGCACAATTAAAACAATACTTTCTTGGTTTATTTAAAAGTTAATCGCTTACCGATTTAATCTCTCATTCTCGAAAACGATTTCCTCAAGTTTCATAATATTATCATTCAGCTGATTCTGATGGAAACTCACCTCCGAAGACAGTTGATTAATATGCTGTTGCAAATCGTTCATTTTCATTTCCACTTGCTCCTTTAGGGACTATATAAGAAACATATATGCGATATGCTTTAAGTACTTAAATTTGATGTGAATTCTTTCTGGCTTTACCTGTGTTATGTTGCAGCAATATTGAAAGTCCGCTTGGGTTTGTTCCGCGGCAAAGGAACGCTGTGCCCGCTCCTCCTCGAGCTGTTGTCGCAGTTCGGTGAGGCTGTCGTCCGTATCTTTGGTCCAATCCTCGACCACTTGATTGTGTTTACGTATATTGCCCACGTCCGTGATGAGATGCAAACGCTGTCGTATTTCCTCGTTCAGCACGGAGCGTATTGTGGTAATGTCCTGCTCGAGGACCTGAACACGATGATCGGCATGCTGATCCAAACGCTCCATGCTGGCGCTCATGCGCTGCAGGTGCTGCTTGCTGCGCGGACATTCCTTCAGATGCGAGCGCATGCGGATTCGTGGTATGAAGACATTGCAGCTGTTCGGGCACTCCTCAAGCACCTGGCCACAGTGTATGAGGTGTTCCTGCATAGACGCGAGTTAAGAGCTATTGAAAATCTAGTTTCAACAATTTGATCAGCATCAAAACACACACCGTAAAAGTTTGGGCGTCGAACCACTCATTGCAAAACAGGCACGATGATTTCTCATACTTGATTATAGTCGTCGATTTGGGTTGCTGCTGGATCGATGGTGGTTGGTCGTCAGCAGACTTATTGAGTGACATCATCTAGAAGATTTGCCCACAAGCAATTTGTCAGCTATTCGCGCTCTTTACACAAAAAACCCAAATTTGCCGTTACGTGAACCGTCTCTAAACATACTAAATTCAGCAAAAAAGAAAAACATGATATACTATACTATGTATATAAATAGATGATTAAGAATTGCCGTCGACACAGTCATACACACACAGCACAATATCTAGCCGCGCGTTCCAATACGCAGATAAAGATACGAGCCTACACATGTGTTGCATACATGACTGTGCCGTGGAAGGTTCCCTGATAAAGCCCAACTGGCTGGAGCTTAAATACACTCATAATAAGTTAACTTGATTCAATGAAAGCCACCAAACCGACGTGCCTTTGCACCGCTCACCATTTACTATACTCCAATTGGATCCAAGCCCGAACGATTTGTCTCCGACTCGAATGAACTAGGAACAGGTCCCACACTGTAATATGCTCACACACACTTGTACACACAGAGTACGAGATATCATTATCAATGGAAATAGCTGTACAATCAAATATTTTGGCATTGCAACAGTTAGCAGTATCACAACAAAGGCAGCACCATAAAGATAACAATAAAACCGGGCTGGGTCGATGCGAAACACAATCACCCTGCATGAGTTGGAGTATAACAATTTAAATGCAACCAAAACATGTATGCTCCAATAACATAAAATCTTAGTCGAGAAACCAATTGACATTTCGGGCAACTTCTATTTCAGTGCTTACGTAATTGTTACGTTTACCAGGCGGTTTATCCTTCAGTTAATTTTAGAAATGTATATATGCTTGTGGCAGCACACAATGTTGTTTGTTATCAGACCCCACACCACCTTATTTCCCTTGCGGTGTTATCAATTGTATTTTGTGCTGATGTTGTCACAATTGCAGACACATTTGACAAGAGCAAAACACAAAGTTCTTGTAAACTAACATGAGATTTGACAGCAACTTGGAAAAACAAAGTTCACTCTCACAACACTTTTGAGCCAACTAATGAAACACACAAATTAATGTTAAATATAGCACTTTGTCAACTAACAAAATGTTGTCGCAATGAATCATCATCAAATTGAAATAAGCAAAAGAGCTACTGGTTCAAAATTGTAAGCCTTTAGGTTACGAACTCTCAGTACTTTTTTTCTAAATTTACTTGATTGAACTCTCTTTCTTTTTTGAGAGAACACCGTACTCTCTACCTATTACATATATATATATATATATATGTTTTTTCTGATCGAAAAATATATACCATATAAGGGTGCCTGGGCATATGCTTCGAAGTTGAAATCACAATTACTAGTGCCAGCATATTACAGGGCGTTTTTATCGTGACTGTGAACCGCATAAATAAATATATGCATAGAAATATAGCCCATTCATATATCTAAATTAAATTCTAGTACCGCCCCTGATTGGCTCAAAGAGATTCTCATTATCTCTGGTGTGTGCTTCAGGCAACTTTTATCATTTGTGTCCGCTAGCTAGTCGACATTTTCTGTATGAAAAATAGTTCTAGAAGAATAATAAAACAGCTGAACGCCTATTTTAACAAACAATACATTTTACTTATAAACAACCAAAAAAAAAAAAAAAATGTATATTTACATAGGTATAAGAAAAAATAAATAAATAAACCGTATAAAAATTATGGCCTAATACTAAGTATTATAAATAGGTCGACTCGAACTTCTTGCGCATTTCACGTTTTCGCTGTTTGCCGGGAAAAATGCTGAAACCCTTGATTTTCAACGCTCTCTTCAGCATTCGCAATGTGAAATCCGGCAATAGACAGGCCACAACCGTCACAAGGATGTACAGCCAGACTGGCAGGGAGGCCAAGAGATTGTTGTATGCCCAGTAAATATCCGTATCGTAGTCCCTGTGTATTAAGATATAGATTTCGATTTCAGCACCAGAAGAAAAAAGGGGCATAACAACTTACAAATTGATGACGTTGTAGATGACGGTCGTAACCATAAATGCAAGTATCGATAATACTATGGTCGCAATATACCAATAGGAAAGATACATGGACTCCAGCCAGAGCTTAAGGTTCACTATGATCACCACGCCCCAGATGAGCAGCGTGCCAAAGCAGGAAAAGGCCGCCGTCTGGCCCCCATTAAGTATGACATTATTAAAGGAGAAAATGCAATACGCGAAATAGAAGATTATCAACGCATGGTAAATCGCAAATACGGTCCACATTAGGAAGTAGGGCCAGTGAAGTTGCTTATTATCCGTGTTTTTCCTATAAAGTTTCGGAGTTCTGCACGAGCGAAAAGAGATTAGAAAAGAGATTAATGAAAAGAAAAGAAAACAACCTGGAGTGTTTTAGTCTCTAGCCCTGAACCTACCGTCCAGGGAATGGAACGCATTCAAAAATTATAACTTTTCTATAACTTTTGTGTTCCTTAGCCGATTTTGACGAAATTTTCAACAATATATCTTATTACGCTATAAAACATTCGTTTTCCTCGAAATGGCAATTGAAAAGAAAAGTTACAGGATAACTATATCAAGTCAAGCTTGGGCTAAACCCAGTCTAAGGTGTATTTTCTTAAAATGGGTATCAAATTACTGAAAATTGATACTTACTGCATAAGGGTCTCCTCGGTGTAGGGTTTCTCGGTTAGAGATATGAAGAGAATGGGCAGCGACGTGTAGATCACATTGTAGAGGGTCAGGAACAGAGAATCGTAGACAGAGGATGAGGAGAAGAGCGTGTGGAATTGGAATAGAAACATGATGCCCATGAACACGATGTTCTTGTAGAAGAAGTAGAGCACTAGGAACGATAGACGCACACTGTGGTAGTGACCATGGACCAGGAGCAAACGCTTCAGCATGCAAAATTTGGCAAAGGCAAAGTCGGCACAGCGGGCCGCCTGGCGGCCCTCGCGTCCCATAATACCGATGCCGACATGCGCCTCCTGTATCATGGACACATCGTTGGCACCATCCCCAATGGAGGCCGTGTTATAGTTCTCATTGGACGACTTGATAAGCGCCACCACCTCGCTCTTCTGCAGTGGACTGAGCCGACAGCAGAGCACGGCCGTGCACTTAACGGCCACATCGCGAAACTCCTTGGGTGCTTCGGCCAGAGCGACGGCCAGGCTCTTGCCATCGATGAGCAGCGCGCACTCTTGGCCGATCCCAAACACAATTTCGCGCTCGAGCACATTCAAGTGAATCAACAGATCGTCGCGGCTCTTGCACTCGAGTATAATATACTTCTTGGCATCGGGTGGTATGTGGCCACAGGACAGAGCAATGTTCAGTGCCGTTTCCACCTTGTCACCAGTGAGCACCCAAATCTTGATGCCAGCTGCCTGCAGGGATACAAGCGTGTCGGCCACATCATCCTGCAGCGCATCCTCCACAGCTGTGGCGCCCAGCAGGTCCAGGTCTGGAAAGAAATGGCAAATGGCGTTGGGTATTTGCTATTTTCTATTGTCCACCTTACCGCTTTCAATCTTTGAATAGCATTCCTCGCAAAGTTGCTTTCGATTTTCCAGTGAGCTGTTCGCCTGGGCCAATGAACTGATGAATTCCTGATACTCCGTTTCAGTGATCTCCCGCCTGGCTATGGCCAGGGTGCGGAGACCCAAACGAGCAAAGTCACTGATGTGGTTATCCGTTTTGGTCACCATCAACGCCGAGCTGTTTGCGCATAGTGGAAATACATAGCTCTCGGCGCCTTTGGTGTAGATCCACTTCTTGCCAGCCTCATCGCGAACAATCACGCTCATACGCTTGCGATCGGAGGTAAACTCCAGCACGTGCAGCCGATAGAAGCAATCCTCCTTGGGCTTATTGCTGTTGATGGGTCGCTTATAGTCCAGATGCGGCGGCACAATGCGCACGCGCAGCACTTCGCCATCGTCGCCAGTATAGACAAAGCCCAGATTGGCGCACGCCTCCACAAGTGCCTTCTCGTCCGGGCTGGAGGCCTGGTAGTCCAGCAAGCTGAGGGATAAGCAAATGGACATGTCATGCACATGCAACTGGGGCCAGCAGGAGCAACTAATATATACCACAATGTTTGCTGGATTTCATTCTTTCGACGCTGCGATTCGGCACGTATGAGTATCGTAGGCTGGCGTGTAAATGTGGGCGCTGCATAGGACTCACGCGATGTGCTGCTGGCGGTGCGAAAGAGTCCACCCACTGGTGGCGTCATATTCCCAACGGGATTTGACAAATACGCATTGGGCGCGCCATATGAGTGGGCGCGCCTGTGACCCAAGGCGGCCGCACTGTTCGCCTCACCAAACTGCGGCAGATCCCGCTCAGAGGTGGAACGTTGGAATTGCAGCGATATGGGTCGCACCATGTGCGGACTCTGACTCTGCATCGGAGTGCCAACAACCATGGAATGGCCATTCTGCTCAGTCGTGTTGCCCGCCGTCGCTTCACCAACGCCCGCACTGTGCACCTTATTGGATCTGGCAAAGTTCGGGCTACGCTTGACCACTTGCGGCCGCTTGCGTCGCTCCACCTGGTAGCTGTCATCGCCAATCAGCAGGGGATTCACATCCGATGAGCTAACCGGAGCATTAACACCATTCGGATGCACCGAGATGGACGTATCAATCGTGTGGCTCACATTGAGCTCGCTGTGCTGACTAGAATTGTGACTCTCCTCGGTGATGTCCGTTATGGAGTACATTTCAGGTGGTCCCGACTTGTTGCTTTCATTCTTATTGGGCGCCACCTGGGCATCTGCCGGCGCGCTCGTTGCCACCTGCACTGTGTGGCAAATGGCCAGCGCTTGGAAGAACACCTTCTGGTCAATCTGTTGACGAAATCCGAGTTAAATAACATATCAAGCATTCTCGAAAATCTCGAAATATTTTTAAATATTAAGTTTCCGATATTCGATCATTTTCAAGTTTTTGCATTTGATTTTTTTCTCTAAATTTTGGCGAAAATTCAGATTCAAATTGTAGAAAATATTCCTTGCATAATTATTTATTCAATTGGATAATAATGCACAATATTTACATTATTTAAATTTTAAATTATTCTTCGAATAAGGTTAA